AAGGGCTGCGCGACCGGCGCAGCGGGGAGCTCGCCAAGTACCAGGTGCGCACCGGGACGGGCCGGGACCGCGCAGCGCGGGCGCTCGGACGCCTGGGCCCGGGCGGCGGGCACGGGGGCGGCGGGAGGACCTGGGCACCGGGCGCTGCGCGGGGCAGGGTGCCTGGGGCCACGGACAGCACGAGGGATCACCCGGACCGGCCGGGAGGATTGGACACCTGGGCGAAGGGCCTGGGTGAGGGGGGTCCCGAGGGCCTGGTTTGGGGGGAGGGAGGGTGGGTACCTTTCCCAGGGAAAGGAGCCTGGTGGGGGCAGATCCCAATTTCTCCGGAGGGGAAGGGGGGCCGGGTGGCCCTGAAGCATTCAAGGTCCCCAGGGAGGGGAGCCCTGCTGCCTGGATGAGGGATGGGAAGACCAGGCCTGGATACCCAGAGTTGGAGCGGGGCTGGGGCAGGGCAGGGAGGGCCGGACACCTGGGTCCATGGGACTGGAGCGGGCGGCATTGCTGACTTCCTGGGCCCACAGGAGCGGGTGGCAGAGCTGGAGCGGGAGATTGGCGAGGCCGAGCAGGAAATGGCCCGGTGCCTGCGCGAGTACCCGGCACTGCTGCGGCTCCGCATGGCCCTGGACGTGGAGATCGCCGCGTACCGGTATGTGGGGGAGGCGGGGGGGGGTCTGCGGCGAGCGCGGGGCTCAGCTCGGGCCATGTCTCTTGCAGGGAGATGCTGGAGGGGGAAGAGCTGCGCCTGGGCTCCACAGCCCCGTCATGACCAGCCTGCCCTGCTCCATGCGCTGGGGGCCTTGGACACCTGTGTCCCCCCGGACCCTGCACCTGGGGAGCCCTGAACTTGTGCTGGTGCTGTGGGACCCCCAGAGCCCCGGGAGCCCCGGACTCCCAAGCTGTGGCCCCCTGGCCCCCTGAGACCCGCCGCGGGAGGGCACACACTCTCACCAGCCTCTCTGGAGCAGCAGCAGGGCCGGGGTCCAGCCCTGGCCCTGTGGAAGCACCTCAATAAACGCCCCATGGCATTACCCAGAGCCAGGCAGTCTGTGGTCATGGGGCTGGTGTCCCCAAAGGGCCCTGCGCTCTGGGGATAAGGGAGCGAGGCCACGGCTGGCCTGGGGGCACAGGGGCTGCCAATTGGGGGGTCCTGGCTCCCTCTTGCCCAGCTGCAGGACCGGAGCCACCAGCTGGGCACCATGTGGGGCCATCACGGGGCAGCATACCCAGCCATGGGGTGCTCTGTGCCCCAATGAGTGCCCTGGGGGCAGCTTTGGGTGTTGATGAGGAATGGGGGGTCCAAGGCGCAGAGGTCCAATGGGGGGGTCCATGCAGGGGTCCCGTGCAGACCCAATGGGGGGTCCATGCAGGGGTCCCGTGCGGATGGACAGGCAGGTGCCCCCAGCAGCCCCCCGGAACCCTCCCCATTGCACATGCAGAGCTGCAGCCGCTCTCCCACAGCAAAGCCAAGCTGGGATCTTTATTGGGAGACACGAATGTGCTTGGAAGCAAATGGGGTTGAGGGCCAGGGCCGAGGCCACGCTGCAGCCCCGCTCCCAGGGGCTCCGGGCCGGGCGCCCTGGCGGGTAGCAGCAGCAGCGGGGGGTCAGCGCCCCCGTGGCCCGGCTGCCTCCAGGTGCTGCCAGGCGCTCCAGGGGCTCCAGCGGGGGCTGCCGTAGGGGTCGCGGCAGCTGATGCGCACGCGCCACGCGCCTGCGCGCAGCCCGCTCTCCTCCGTACCCTCCAGCTCCTCGTGCACCTGTGGGGCAGAGCCGCCGTGGGGCTGCTGGGGGGCCGGCACTGGGGAGCTGGAGGGCAGGTTTCCAGGGACGGTGGGAAGGGAGGGATGGGGCCAAAGCAGGGAGCAGGGCTGGAGCAGGGAGTGGGGCTGCAGCAGGGAGTGGGATGCTGCCTGGCACGGCTGCTCTGCAGGGAAGCGGAGCTGAAGGCTGGGGCCGTGGTTTCCTGCCCCAGGGAGTACGGAAGGGAAGCGGTCCCTGCACACGGAGCTGGACATGGTTCCTAAGTGACAGCGCTGTGCGGGCGTAAAGGTCCCGGCTGCGGTGGCCTTTGCTAAAGGACAAAGCTCTGAGTCAGACAGGACAAAAATAAACCCAAGTAAGAGTGAAGGCAGCACAGGGCGGGCATGGAGCAGGGCAGGCACAGGACGCTGAGGGCACAGAGCATGGGAGGATATGGCAGGGCAGTGTGGGGGAGCAGGGCCATGGGCTATATGGGCATGGGGCGGGCTACACGGAGCTACCTGGGTGCCATTGGGGAACTCGTACTGCAGCCGGTAGGAGAGGGCGAAGTAGGACTTGGGCAGCGGCCAGGAGGCTGGGGGCGCCCAGGACAGGTAGAGCTGCCCGCTCCGGCGATGCAGCTTCAGCGCCTGCGGCGGGTCGGGCCGCACTGCGGGTGCAAGGCAGTGGGGACGTCACCCAGTGCTGGCCCCACAGCCCAGCCCGTACCGTGGGGCTGGCAGCACCTGTGGGGCTGCCCGTGTGCCCCCCGGGGCCGCCCGCTGGTCATTGCACTCACCGATGTCACGGATGAAGAAGGGGTGCGTGGTGTTGAGGTAGGAGGTGTCCGAGAGCCCCTCCAGCTGCAGCTGCAGCGGGTGCAGCTCCTCGGCAAAGGGGCAGAACGAGGGGTCGGAGAAGCTGACGTTGAAGTGGGAGCGGTGGCCGGGCACCGGCACCCAGCTGCCTGAGGAGCCGTCACTGCGGGACAGGGGGGTTAGGGCTGGAAGCCAGGGCTGTGTGGGGGGCATGGGGGTCTCAGCACCCACCTGTGTGTGAGGCGGGCGCAGAAGACGGTGAAAGGAGGAGCCATCCAGGAGCAGCGGAAGGAGCCACGGTAGGACTCAGCCTGGCACGAGACGTTGATGCTCGGCTGTCCTGGCGGGACTGGGGGCAAGAGCAAGAAGGTCTGCACACCCTGGGCTCAGGGGCTGCTGCACCCAGCTCTATCACCCACATCCCCTGCCCAGCCTCGATCCATCCCCACCTGGCTCTATTAGCCACGTCCATCCCCAGCCCTGCTCCATCATCCATCACCATCCCTGTGTCCATCCTCAGCCGTGCTCCATCACCCATCCCCATCCCTGGTCCCTGTGTCCAACCCCAGCCCTGCTCCACCCCCGCCTGACTCCATTAACCATGTCCATTCCCAGCCCTGCTCCACCATCCATCCCCAGGCCTGCTCCATCACCCATCCCCGGGCCCCATGTCCACCCCAGCCCTGCTCCCCAGCCCCGGGCTCCACGCGGGCAGTGCCCCAGCCCCACGCACAGGCGTTCCTGACCACCACGTAGGTGGAGTCCAGCAGGATGGAGCCAGCCCAGCAGCTGTAGTTGCCAGCAGCTGGCAGGTCCAGGCCCAGGATTCTGAGAGCTTTTCCCTTGGCCTCAAGCTCTACCATGGGCTTCTCCTCATCGTTCAGCTTCCAGGTCACCTGCTGCTCTGAGGTGTTGCACTGCAACTCCACGTCCTGGTTCAGGTCCCCGACATGAACTGCACGTGAGGTGGAGGCTGTGTCAGGTCTGGCTCTGTCGGCAGCCCCCCGTGAGCCCAGTGCCTTTCCTTCCGCACTGTCCTCAGCCCTCCTGCATTGCCCGCATCCATCCCCAGCCCTGCTCCTTACTGAGCCCTGCTCCATCATCCACTTCCCTTCCCTGCCCTGCTCCATCACTCACATTCATCCTCAGCCCTGCTCCCTCACCCACACCTATTTCCATCCATGCCCCACCACCCACATCCATCCCCAGCCCTGCTCCATCACCTACATCCATCCCCAGCCCTGCTCCATCACCTACATCCACCCCCGCCCTGCTCCATCACTCACATCCATCCCCAGCCCTGCTCCATCACCCACATCCATCCCAGCCCTGCTCCATCACCCACATCCATCCCAGCCCTGCTCCATCACTCACATTCATCCTCAGCCCTCCTCCATCACCCACAACTATTTCAATCCCTGCTCTATCCATCCCCAGCCCTTGCATCCAACCCCAATCTTGCTTCATCACCACATCCATCCCCAGCCCTTCCCCACCCAACATCCATCCCTGCCCAGTTTCCAGCCTCTGTGCCCATTCTCCCTGTCCTTGTCCCCCTAGCAGGGACAAGGGACATTCACGTCCCCAGGCTCCCATGCAGCCGGGCAGAGACCAGTCAGGCCTCTCCTCGGCTCCAGCAGGACTCACTCCTTGGGGGGAAGGTGGAGAGGGCTTGGGCAGGGCTGAGGAACAGCAGCAGCCCCAGCAAACGCAGCATCTGCAGGAAGAGAGGCCATGTGGTGAAGGGAGCCGAGCAGGCTGGGGACCACAGAAAAGGGGACCAGCCGCGTCCAGGTAAATGGGCCGTCTGTGCCTGGGAGAAAGGAATCAGCCACGTCCCAGTAAATGGGACTGGCTATGCCCAGGAGAAGGGGACCAGCTGCGTCCAGGCAAATGGGATCGGTTGTGCACGAGAGAAGGGGACCAGGTGCGTCCAGGCCACAGGATGGTGAGGGCAAAGCAGCCTCATCCCAGAATGGCTGCGGGATCAGGCTGCAGGATGGAAGCGGGGCCAGGTGGGATCTGCCAGGGGAGTGTCGCACCAGGGGCTGAAGGGCGGGACCCTGCAGGCCTGGGGCCGTGAGTGCCCCTGCCTTTGCCAGAGGCTGCCGCCCTGCATGCAGCATCTGCAGCATGCCTGAGGTCCCAGGGATGCGGTGGCTGCCCAGTGCCCCCCCTGCCCCGCCCCGTGCCTACCTTGCAGTGTGGGTGATGTGCGCTGCTCCAGCTGCTTGGCTGGTCCTTGGAGCCTGGAGCTGCCTATTATATAGGGTGCTGGGACCCTGTGGGGCTGCCCCACGGTGCAGCCGGAGCCACAGAGCATCACGGTTCTGAGAAGAGGAGAAAGCTGCCGGGGTGGGGCCCGGTGCAGCGCCAGCCGCGGAGCAGAGCTCGGCCGGGGCGCGGGGACGGGCTCCCTCGTACGGCGGGGCCGCTGCTCGGCACCCGGGCCGCGGGGGCGGCACCGCGCCGGGCACCGCAGCGGCACCAGGGAGGGGACGGCCGGGGACAGCGCCGCGCGGCCCCGGGCGGCCGCGCGCGGCGGGGGTCGCTGGCCCCGGGCACCGCGGGCAGGTGGGAATCGCGGGGCGCCGCGGAGGCTCCAGGCGCCGCAGCGGGCGGCACGCGGGGCGGCCCGGCCGCTGCCCTGGCCCCGCGCTGGGCACGCGCCAGGGTAGGGACAGGTACGGGGACAAGGACGAGGACGGGTCAGGGATGGGGACGAGGGCAGGCGCTACCACCGCCCTGTCCCTAGGAAGAGCTGCCCCAGTCCCGCTGCGCTGGGGCCCTGGCAGGGGCAGCCAGCATCCTGGCATGGGGATGGGCACCCGCGCAGGGCGGGGGGCTGCAATGTCGCCCCGTCGGGGGGGCAGTGCAAGGCAGGGGCAGCAGCACCATGGAGCTGGAATGTCGCCCCGTCGAGGGGCAGCGCAGGGAAGGGGTGGCAGTGCCATGGAGCTGGAAAGTCACTCGGTCTGGGGACAATAACGGGCAGGGCCAGCACCGTCGCGGGGCTGCAATGTCGCCCGTCGGGGGGCAGCGCTGGGCAGGGGTGCAGCGTCGCGGGAAGCGGCGGGTCGGGCGCCGTGACCGGGCGGCAGCGCGGGCAGGGCCGGAGCCGGGGTCGGGGCCGGGGCCGGGGCCGCACCGGCCGCCCCGCGCGGCTCGGCGCCGCGCTCACCGGCTCACGTATTTCCGGGCGTTCCTAGAAGGTCATGGGGAAGTTGGGGTCGGGCCGGGGGCGGCGGAGAAACCCACCCGCCACCTGGCGCCGCCCCCCCGAGGGGCCGCGGGAGCCGGCGGAGCCGCCGCGGGGCGGCCGGGGCAGCGGCCGCTCCCGGGAGCGGGCGGGGAGCGGGCGGCGGGGCCGCGCGTCCCGCGGAGCCGGGTGCCTGCGGGCGCCCCCCGCCCGCCGCAGCTTCCCCTCGGCTTCCTCAGAAGCAGCCGGCGACCGCGGCGGGGAAGGCCCGGCCCAAAGGGCAGGGCTGCCCCGGGGGGCCGGGGAGGGCGGCGAGGCGGGACCGGCACCGGGCGCAGAAAGCCCCGCTGCGGGACGGGAGCGGGACGGGGATGCAGGACGGGGACAGGGAGGGGGACACAGATGCGGGATGGGGATAGAGAGGGGACAGGGATGTGGGATGGGGATAGGGATGCGGGATGGGGAGGGGGGATGACAGGACAGGGAGGGGGAGGGGGATGCAGGATGGGAATAGGGATGTGGGAAAGGGACAGGGAGGTGGATGCAGAATGGGGACAAGGATGGGAATGGGGATGCAGGACGGGGATTTGGGATAGGGAGGGGGATGGGGATGCGCGATGGGGATGTGGGATGGGGTTAGGGATGTGGGACAGGGATATGGGACAGGGAGGGGGACAGAGATGCAGATGTGGGATGGGGATGTGGGATAGGGATGTGGAATGGGGATAACAACGTGGGATAGGGATGTGGGATGGGGATGTTGGACGGGGACAGGGATGTGGGATGGGGAGGCGGGATGGGGATGTGCTGCTTGGGTGCAGCATGGTGGGCAGCAGCTGCAACGATGCCCTGGTCCCCAGCCCCAGAAGAGACAACAGGGGGACCAACCCCAGCCAGACCGGCCCCCCGGTCCCACAGTCACCAACGCCAGGCACAGAGAAAAGGTCACAAAACTTTATACAGACACGTGGGGGCCGGGATGGCTGGGCCCCACCATGGACCGCCCGACGGGGGGCTGCACACACCCCTGGTGCCGGATCCTGGGCACCGCGGTGTGGGGCTGCCCCACAAGTGCCGCAGCTTGGGGCCACTCCCGGGCATGGTGGTGCGTGGTGGCCCCTCACAACTGCTGCAGCTCGGGGCTGCCCCCTGGACACCGCAGTGCGGGGCTATCCCCCAAGCGCTGCAGCTCGGGGCTGCCCTCGGGCACCACAGTGCAGGGGTGCCCCCCGGCCCCGCAGCACAGAGCTGTCCCCTCGTTCCCGCGGTGCCACTGCAGGCTCTGGCCACCCTCTCGCCGCACAGCCCGGGCAGCGACGCTGCCCCACAGCCCCCGAGGGCTCCGGCAGCTCCCGCTCACTGCACGGCGCAGACCTCCCGCTCCTCGTCCTCCTGTGCGGGCACCTCCTGTGGTGCCGCGGGCGCCTCCTCCTGCGGCGCGGCCACCTCGTGCCGCAGCTGGGCCAGCAGGTCACGGCTCTCGCTGGGCGGCAGGTTGCTCAGGTAGTACTGGGGCGCCAGCTCCACCAGCCTGCGGGGACACGGGCAGGGCGACGCAGGGACACGGTCAGCAGGGCACCCTGGCGCCCACCCCTGTGCCCCATGCCGTGCTCACATCTGGGGCTGGATCTCAGAGACGATGCGCAGGCAGTTGTCCTGCGAGATGGTGAACTCGTGGTAGAGCACCCATGGGGGCGGGCGCGGGGGCGGGCGCCGCAGCAGGTAGCAGCAGCCGGGGGACAGGTGGGCCACATGCTTGTGCGTCAACATCACGTAGTTGCCGGAGCCGTCGATGTCCCGGGCCACCTGGGGACGGAGCGGGGGCGATGGGGGCTGGCGGGCGCGGGGCCGCGCGGGCGCTGGCGCTGCCCCCTGCCCACCTTGAGGAAGTAGCCGGAGATGAGCGCGCGCTGCAGGTTGAGCAGGTTGCTGTCGCTGCCGAAGGCGGGCGGCGAGACGGGCAGCTCGATGCGGCGCATGACGTCCAGCAGCTCGGCCCGCACCACAGCCGCCAGGCGCAGCGCCTCCGTGCTCAGCGCGTGCTTGCGGCACCAGCCCTCGTCCGCGTTGTCTGCGGGCAGAGCGGGCTCAGCGCGCGGCCGGGGGTCTGGCTGGGGACCCAAGGACATGGGGGCCCAGGTGGCTGCCCCAGGAGGCCCCTCAGCAGGGCCGGGCCCTCCCTCCCCAGCGCAAGCTCCAGCGTCCCGGCTCATCCCAATCCCGTTGCAAGAGCCTCAACCCGGGCCGGGGCTCCTGGGCTGTGAAACCCGCAGAGCGGCTCCTCCAGACAGGGACAGGGATGGGCAGCACAGGGGACAGTGATGGGGTGGGCAGCACAGGAAACAGGGACCAGGATAGGCACGGGGACAGGAATGGGGCTGGCAGGGACAGGGAAGAGGGGACAGGGATGGTGCAGGGAAGGAGGGGCAGGCGGCACGGGAACAAGGATAAGGTGAGTAGTGCAGGGGATGGCAGGAACAGGGTGGGCAGCATGGGCGACAGGGATGGGGACAGGGATGAGGCGGGTAGTGCAGGAATAGGGACGGGGCGGGCAGCATGGGGACAGGGACAGGACAACGGAGGGGTGCAGGGGACAGGAAAAAGGATGGGGACAGGGACAAGGACAGGGTGGGCAGCACAGGGACAGGGATGGGGATGGGGTAGGCAAGGATGGAATGGGCAGGGAGTGGGACCGGGATGGGGCAGGCAGTGCGACACCGTGCGGGTCCGGACCCCATCCGGAGGGGCTGCAGCCTCCAGGACGGACGTGGGGCACGAAGGGGACCCTGCGAGGGGTTCCCGTTCCCGCTCCCGCCAGCCCCGCGCTCACGCTGCTGGAAGGCGTTGAACACGTTGATGAGGGTGAAGTGGTCTCCGTGCGGGTGCAGCAGCGTGCGGCGCCGCGCGGCCACCGCCTCCTCCAGGTGTGGGGCGGGGGGCAGGAAGCAGGGGGGCGCTGGGGGGGATGCACAGGTGAGCCCCCGGCCGTGGGGCCATCCCGCACCCCCCCGTCTCCCCCCACCTGTGAGCATGGCGGCCAGGCTGACCATCTCCTCAACGCAGTCAAACTCGCAGGAGGC